GAGGGGGCCACATGCGGAAAGACCATGTATGGAAAGAATCTGACTTGCTAATAGCAACTTTCAGATATGTGTGAAATAGCCACCTTGAAAGCAGATCCTCCAGCCTCTTAGTCAAGACTTAAGAGGATTTCAGTTCCAATGCAAGACACTTGACAAAAGAAAAAATTTATTAAAAAAAAAAAAAAAGAGGATTTCAGGCCGGGTGTGGTGGCTCATGTCTGTAATCCCAGCACTTTGAAAGGCTGAGGTGGGCGGATCACGAGGCTAGGAGTTTGAGACCAGCCTGGCCAACATGGTGAAGCCCCGACTCTACTAAAAATACAAAAATTAGCTAGACGTGGTGGCACATGCCTGTAATCCCAACTACTCAGGATGCTGAGACAGGGGAATTGCTTGAACATGGGAGGTGGAGGTTGCAGTAAGCAGAGATCATGCCATTGCACTCTAGCCTGGGTGACAAGAGTGAAACTCGATATCAAAAAATATATATATTAATTGTCAATATATGTATGTCTCATTTCCCTATTATCTTGTTCATTATTCCATATATATTTTGGAGTACCAATTACACATCAGATGCCATGGTAGGTCCTGAGGGGCACAGAAAGAATAAAACCAGATGAACCCATCTTTGAGAAATGCAGCCTATGTAGGGCTTGACTGGATGTGGCCCACACATACGTATTGTATAGTGACCTGGATGTATATTGTTTATACAGTGAGCAGTGTTTAAATAAAATTAGAATTAGTTGGCAACATTCAAAAATCAGGAGACTTCTTGTCTGTGAGGGAAAAAAAAGAAAAAAAATCAGGAGACTTCACAAGAAAAGCTAGATTAATTATGTCTTTTGAAATATGGAAAGATCTGGCAGTTCTGGGTCCTCTCTCTCCCATGGCTATTGTCAGCTGGAGGGGAGCATCTGTCATCCCTTTTGGCAGGGCATGAGTTTGCCTAGTTCCCTGCAGGCCCCACTACCCCCTCCACCACTGAGAGAGAAGGCACAGCTTGGCACAGGACCAGTTCCTGTCCTTCCAAACCACGTGGGTGGCTTTGCCCTCACATGGTTGCTGCAAACTAAGCAAACAATCCTAACTGCCAGTCATTTAAAAAGGAATAGTATTCCTCACCGGATTATTAGGCAGGCATGGTGGTGGGCACCTGTAATGCCGGCTACTCGGGAGGCTGAGGCATAAGAATCGCTTGAACTCAGGAGGCAGAACAGAGGTTGCAGTGAGTCAAGATCGCTCCACTGCACTCTAGCCTGGACGACAGAGCGAGACCCTGTCTGAAAAAAAAAGGATAATATCCCCCTTTCCAAAATGAACTTTCTATGGCAGGAATACTGGATGCACCAGTAGAAGTGGATGCTCTGAGGCTTCAGCCTGCAGGACCTCCCCTCAGCCCATCTTCTTGCTGGGTACTAGGTAGTTCATAATAAAGCAGATGTTGTTTTTAGGCCAGGTGTGGTTGCTCAGGCCTGTAATCCCAACATTTTTGGAGGCTGAGGTGGGCCAATGGTTTGAGTCCAGGAGTTTGAGACCAGCCTGGGCAACATAGTGAGACCCCTGTCTCTACAGAAAATAGAAAAAAATAGCCAGCCAGCCTGGCCAACACAGTGAGACCCATCTCTACAAAAAAAAAAAAAACACAAAAAAATTACAAAAATTAGCTGGGCATGGTGATGAATGCCTGTAGTCCTATTACTTGGGAGGCTGAGGCAGGAGGATTGATTGAGCCCAGGTGGTGCAGTGAGCCATGATTGTGCAACTGCACTGCAGCTGCAGCCTAGGTGGCAGAGCAAGATTCTGTCTCAAAAAAACAAACCAAAACAAGCAGACAGATATAATTTTTAAAATAATAGACTTTATTTTTAGAACAGTTTTAGATTTACAGAAAAATTGGTCAGGCACAGTGGCTTATGCCTGTAATCCCAGGACTTTGGGAAGCCAAGGCAGGTGGATTACTTGAGGTCAGGAGTTCGAGACCAGCCTGGCCAACATGGTGAAACCCTGTCTTTACTAAAAATATTTGTAAAATTAGCCGGGTGTGGTGGTGGGTGCTTGTAACCCCAGCTACTCAGGAGGCTGAGGCAGGAGAATTGTTTGAACCCAGGAGGCAGAGGTTGCAGTGAGCTAGGAGCTGAGGCTGCACCACTGCACTCCAGCTGGGCAACAGAGCAAGATTCCATGTCAAAAAAAAAAAAAAAAATAGATTTACAGAAAAATTGACAAAATAGTACAGAAAATTTCTATATGCCTTGCATCCAATATCCCCTATTATTAATATCTTACATTAGTATGGTATACTTGTTAAAATTAATGAACAAATATTGATATAGCATCACTAACTAAAGTCCATAGAAGTCCATGCTTTATTCAGTTTTTCTTTGTTCTTTCTTTCTTTCTTTTTTTTTTTTTCTGTCGTCCAGGCTGGAGTGCAGTGGTGAGACCTTGGCTCACTGAAACCTCCGCCTCCCAGGTTCAAGTGATTCTCCTGCCTCAGTCTCCTGAGTAGCCGAGACTACAGGCGTGTGCCACAATGCTCAGCTATTTTTTGTATTTTTAGTAGAGAAGGGGTTTCACCATATTGGCCAGGCTGGTCTCGAATTTCTGACCTTGGGATCCGCCCGCCTTGGCCTCCCAAACTGCTGGGATTACAGGCGTGAGCCACCAAGCTCAGCTATTCAGCTTTTCTTAATTTTTTTTTTTTTTTGAGACGGAGTTTCGCCCTTGTTGTCCAGGCTGTATGTAATGGCGCGATCCTGGCTCACCGCAACCTGCGCCTCCCCAGTTCAAGCGATTCTCCTGCCTCAGCCTCTTCAGTAGCTGAGACTACAGGTGCGTGCCACCACGCCCAGATAATTTTTTTGTATTTTTAGCAGGGAAGGGGTTTCTCCATGTTGGTCAGGCTGGTCTCAAACTCCCGGCCTCAGGTGATACGCCCAGCTTAGCCTTCCAAAGTGCTGGGATTACAGGTGTGAGCCACTGCTCCCAGCTGCTTATTTTTTACCTAATAGCCTTCTCATGTTCATCCATTTATGTTACATTTACTTGTCACATCCCCTTAAGCTGCTCTTAGCTGGGACAGTTTCTCTGACTTTCCTTTTTTTTTTTTTGAGTTTTGTTCTTGTTTCCCAGGCTGGAGTGGAGAGGCATGATCTCAGCTCACTGCAACCTCCACCTTCCAGTTTCAAGTAATTCTCCTACCTCAACCTCCTGAGTAGCCGAGACTACAGGTGTGTGCCACCATGCCCAGCTAATTTTTGTATTTTTAGTAGAGACGGGGTTTCACCATGTTGGCCACACTGGTCTCGAACTCCTGATCTCATGATTCGCCCTACTTGGGCTCCCAAAGTTCTGAAATTACAGGCATGAGCAACCATGCCTGATGACTTTCCTTATTTTAATGACCATGACAATTTTTTTGGTTTATTTGAGACAGGGTCTGGCTCTGTCACCCAGACTGGCATACAGTGGTCCGATCTTGGCCCATTGCCACCTCTGCCTCCCGGGTTCAGGCCATCTTCCCACCTCAGCCTTCTAAGTAGCTGGGACAACAGGTGTGCACCACTACACCTGGCTAAGTTTTTATATTTTTTGTAGAGATGGGGTTTCACCAAGTTCATCTTGAACTTCTGAGTTCAAACTATCCACCTGCCTCAGCCTCCCACCAGTGCCGGAATTACAGGCATCACCCACTGCATCTGGCTGACCATGACAACTTTAAGGCTTTAAGGGGTACTTTAAGTTCAGTGGGTTTTTTGGGGTTTTTTTTTGAGATGAAGTTTTGTTCTTGTTGCCCAGGCTGGAGTACATACAGTGGCTTGATCTCAGCTCACCACAACCTCTGCCTCCCTGTTTCAAGCAATTCTGCTGCCTCACCCTCCTGAGTAGCTGGGATTACAGGCATCTGCCACCACGCATGGCTAATTTTTTTGTATTTTTAGTAGAGACAGGGTTTTACCATGTTGGTCAGGCTGGTTTTGAACTCCTGACCTCAAGTGATTCGCCCATTTCAGCCTCCCAAAGTGCTAGAATTACTTATTAGGCGTGAGCCACTGTGCCTGGCTAAGTTCAGTGCTTTGTAGGATATCCCTCTAGTAGAATTTCTTTGGTGTTTTTCACATGGTTGAACTAGGAGTGTGGATTTTTTTTGGTTTTTTGAAACGGAGTCTTGCTCTGTCACCCAGGCTGGAGTGCTGTGGCGCTATCTCAGGTCACTACAACCTTTGCCTGCCAGGTTCAAACTGTTCTCCTGCCTCAGCCTCCTGAATAGCTGGGACTACAGGTGCGTGCCACCACGCCCGGCTAAGATTTAGCAGAGACACGGTTTTACCATGTTGGCCAGGATGGTCTCGATCTCCTGACCTCAGGTAATCCACCCGCCTTGGCCTCCCAAATTGCCAGGATTACAGCCATGAGCCAGTGTGCCCAGCCAGGAGTGTGGATTTTCAGGAGTAGGACTACAAGGTAAAGTCCCGTTTTCATCATATCATATCATATCATATCAAGGGTACATACTTTCTCTCTCTTTTTTTTTGAGATGGAGCCTACCTCTGTCGCCCAGGCTGCAGTACAGTGGTGCGATCTCAGCTTACTGCAACTTCCACCTCCCAGGTTTAAGCGATTCTCCTGCCTCAGCCTCCATAGTAGCTGGCATTACAAATGCCCACTACCATGCCTAGCTAATTTTTGTATTTTACTCTCAAGTGACTTATCAACATGACATATCAATGACTTGATCACTTGGTTGAGGAAGTATTTGTCAGTTTTCTCCATGTAGTGTTTTTTTCTCTTTTTCTACATGAACTCTTTGGAAGGAAGCCACTAAGTACAACCTATACTGAAGGAGTGTGGAGTAATGTTCCCCTCCCTGAGGGCACAGTAGCCATATAAATTATTTGGGATTCTTCTGCATGGGAGATTTATCTACAATTCTCCTTTTATCTATTCAATCATTTATTTATATTACTACAGACTCAAGGATATTTATTTTACACTTTGGGTCATAATCCAATATTTTATTGATTCTGTTACTTAAATTGTTCCTGCTTTGGCCACTGGATGCTCTTTTCCATTTGTCTTTGTTGTTTTTGAGACAGGGTCTCATTCTGTTGCGCTGGCTTGAGTGCAGTGGTGTGATCTTGGCTCACTGCAGCTTCAACCTCCTGGACTCAAGTGATCCTTCTACTTCAGCCTCCTGAGTAACAGAGACTACAGACATGCACCACAGATATGTGCCACCATGCCCAGCTAATTTTTGTCATTTTTGCAGAGATGAGGTTTCACCATGTTGCCCAGGTTGGTCTTGAACTCCTGAGTTCAAGCAATCCACTTGCCTCAGCCTCCCAAAGTGCTGGGATTACAGGCGTGTGCTACTGCGCTTGGCTCATTTGTTTTTTTGATATAGCCTCAGCATTGGGTTTTTAGGTTTTTGTTTTTTAGTACTTACTTTCTGACACTACAAGATACCATACTCCAGGCTCATCTTGTATATTTCCTACCTCTAGTCCTAGAATCAGCCGTTTTTCCTGCGGGCCCTAATTCCTTTTATTAGAGAATGGTATTAGAGCCGAGATCTGAGAGGTAGGTATAATTTTTATTCTTTACATTTTGCTACACTAAAAAGTAAAAATGATCATTAAAAAATGGTAAGTTTTTAAATGAATTTAAAAACCGTTGAAGGCCAGATGTGGTGGCTCAGGCCTGTAATTCCAGCACTTTGGGAGGTCGAGGAAGGCAGATCACTTGAGTCAAGGAGTTCTAGACCAGCCTGACCAATATGATAAAACCCCATCTCTACCAAAAATACAAAAAAATTAGCCAGGCATAGTGGCATGCGCCTGTCATCCTATTTACTTGCGAGGCTGAGACAGAATCACTTGAACCCAGAGGTGGGGGTTGCAGTGAGCCGAGATGGTGCCATTGCACTCCAGCCTGTGTGATAGAGCAAGACTCCATCTCAAAACAAACAAACAAACAAAGCTGTTGATTCCTCAGGGCCAAGCACCTCCGACTGGCATGTGTCTAACCTCAGAATCCCTTTCCTGCCCTTCCTTTCAGTCAGGCTTAGAGGATGTTTGGCAGCCTTTCTTTAGGTGGGTACCAGCCTGGCTCAGATGGGCACTGATGAACAACTGCCCAAAGAGAGGAAAGAACCAGTGCACAAAGGAAGGAGAAACTAATGTTGTGGGAAGGGACAGATAAACGTTTTTATTTTTTTATTTTTTATTTTATTTTATTTTTTTAAGACGGGGTTTCACCATGTTGGTCAGGCTGGTCTTGAACTCCCGACCTCAGGTGATCCACCCACCTTGGCCTCCAAAGTCCTTGGATTACAGATGTAAGCCACCACGCCTGGCCTCAGAAATAAGTTTTAAGCATAAGAGCAACTCAGGAAGAGGTGGAAGTGCTCCTGAAAAGCAGACTGTTTTAGACTTCCTAACCCCAACTTGCTCTGGGGACCTCCAGTCCCCAAGCTGCTGCCTGGTACACAAAAGGCCTCCATCAGCATCTGGTGATCGTCTCTGTGGAGCAGCCCATGGGATATAAGCAGAGCCCTCAATGTGGGAAGCCCCAAAGTACTTCTCCACTCATTTTATGTGGAAGAATCCTGCAAGGTTTTTGAGTCTTAAAATTTATTATGCATGCCTTCCAAGGTCTGGAGATTTCTCGGTGGCATCTCCAGTCAAAAGAACATTTAGGGGATTACCTTGGCAGTTAAGTCATCACAGGTGTCCTGGAGCACTGCCCAGTCAGCAAGGTAATGCTATGAATTCTGAGAATCAACTGGCCTAATGGGGAAGAGAGAAGGACAGAAAGTGAAGTCAAGGCCCTGCCCCAGGAGCGTGTCAGCCACCAGGACTGATACTCTAAGCAGTGGGCGCCACATCAGAAGGCTCACCAAGCTGTTGGTGAGGCTGGGAGGTGAGGACCCCTGGCTGCTGCAGAGAAGGATGAAAGGAAAGAATTTGGGTGGGCCAGGCATATTGGCTCACGCCTGTAATCCAAGCACTTTGGAGGCCAAGGCAGGTGGATGACCTGAGGTTGGAAGTTCAAAACCAGCCTGACCAACATGGTGAAACCCGGTCTTTATTAAAAAAAAAATAAAAAAAGAATTTGGGTGGGGGTGGGTGTAGAGGAAGTGGATACTCCCATAGCCAAGCTCACTGCTGGTAAGAAATAAGTTGGACAGCCCAAGCTGCCTGCTGGGGGAACAGCAAGTAGGCCAACAAGAGGCATAAGCAGGGAAGTGGATATCGGGAAGGTGAACAAGATTCCTAAACCTGGGCTTGGGCAAACTTCGTAGGGGAGCCTGAAACAGGGTGCACACCAAATCAGAAGGACATGTGCATCCTTCAGGACACGGAGACTTAACAAAACATATGTTTCTCAAAGGTTGAGACTGTTAGCCCCAGGGAATGTGGGCACCAAAGGATGTAAGTGGTGGCAAATCCATAAGGGGCTGCAGCAACCTTAATTCTTCCCTCCTCAGAAGAAAGAACTCCACCAAGGGGCCTAAGACAGGGGGAGAGAGAGGGGCAAGTTTTAGAGCAGAAGTGAAAGTTTTATTAAAAACTTTTAGAGCAGGAATGAAAGTAAAAATACATGATTGGGTGTGGTGGTTCGCACCTGTAATCCCAGCACTTTGGGAGGCCGAGGCAGGTGGATCACCTCAGGTCAGGAGTTCAAGACCAGCCTGGCCAACATGGTGAAATCCTGTCTCTACTAAAAATACAAAAATTAGTTGGGTGTGGTGGTAACACACCTGTAATCCCAGCTACTTGGGAGGCCGATGCATGGAAATCTCTTGAACCTGGGAGGTGGAGGTTACAATGAGCCGAGATCGCACCACTGCACTCCCGCTTGGGCAAAGGAGAAAGACTCTGTCTCAAAATAATAATAATAATAATAATAATAATAATAATAGGCCAGTCGCAGCAGCTCACGCCTGTAATCCCAGAACTTTGGGAGGCCGAGGCGGGCGGATCACCTGAGGTTGGCAGTTCAAGACCAGCCTGACCAACATGGAGAAATCCTTCTCTACTAAAAATACAAAAAATTAGCTGGGTGTGGTGGTACATGTCTGTAATCCCAGCTACTCTGGAGGCTGAGGCAGGAGACTCACTTTAACCCAGGAGGCGGAGGTTGCAGTGAGCTGAGATCGTGCCATTGCACTCCATCTTGGGCAACAAGAGTGAAACTCTGTCTCAAAAAAACAAAACGAAACAAAATAAAAATAAAATAATAAAATAAAAAGTTTTAGAGCAGGAAAAAATGTAAAAGTACACTTGGAAGAGGGCCAAGTGGGTGACTTGAGAGATTCAAGTGCACTGTTTGACCTTTGACTTAGAATCTTATAAGTTCGGATGCTTGGTGGGTGTGGGTGGTAGTTGCGTCCCTTCTCCCCTGATCTTCCCTTGGAGTTAGTTGCGTCCCTTCTCCCCTGATTCTTCCCTTGAGGTGGCTGCCAGCACTTGGGAGGGGCCTCTGGCACAGTGTTTACTGAAGTGGTGCGCGTGCTAACGAGTTGTGTTTCTCTTACCAGTTGAATGTTCCCAGAGAGAGAGCTCATATACCAGTTAAACTCTGCCATTTTGCCTCTTAGTTCACGTGCTTGAGCCTACTCGCTCAGCTCCTGAGATCTAATTGGGAAGCTGATCACCAGTTTTGGGTTTTTCCGTCTGTTGGGAGACTGCCTTTCTCTGGCGCTGGGTGTGGCCAATTGTCATTTTAGAGAGGCAGCTTAACAACTGCCTGACCATCACCTGATGGTCCCCTGATATTCCTGGGGCTGGGAGGGGCTCTCCCGCCCTTCTCATGTCTGCGGCTATCCACTGTAACAACACTGCCACGCAGGCTATGCATCAGGAGACCCACTGCGGCTTCTGGCCGGCACGAGACAAAATCCAGGTTGCCTGGGACCCTCTGCTTATCAACCAGCCTGCAGGCGTGTGGCTACCTCACTTGTGCCTCCTAAATCCCTTTTCTGGGAAGGGGAGGGGGGGACTGCTATAATTGTCCTCATTTTACGGAACTTCACGCCTAGTTCCCTTTCCACCATCCCTGGGCCTTCCAGAAGAATCTCTGTGCTTGGAGAAAGGAGTACACAGCCTGAGGTTGGGTACCGGATGCAAACATCCACTCATAACTGTTTCTTGGGAACTGGGGCTGCCCGAGACAGGGAGACCCGGGGACACTGTCCTAACGGAAGCCAAGACTTGGGGAAGCCGAAGTAGGACGCAGTTAATTATAACTGCAATGATAACTTCGTACTTGAGTGCTTTCAAGGGTCGCCGAGGAAGCGAGGAGGGAAAGAAAGGGACACAGGTCGGTGGCTGTCGGGTTTGCTGTGTCGATCAGCTTCAGCAGGACGGAAGGCGCGAGCGCGGGAGAAAGGGCGCAGCGAGGATGGCAGGAACCTTGCAGCCCGCGGGCCTCGCCCCCCACCGCGGGTTTGCGCCCACCCCTCTTCCCCGGGCTGCGCAGGCCTGGCCTCGTAGGTACTCTGCAGGGGGAGGCTCGGAGGTGCGGGTGTCCAAGTCGTTAGGGCTGCCACGGCTGCGGTCGCTGCTAAGCCTCAGATAAGGAGATCAAAGCCCAGGTGGGGGCCGGCGGCCTAATCCACCGCGGCTCCTTGTCCCCGGCGGCCCCAGCACTGCGCGGACAGCGGCTAACAGCGGAGCCTGGGCGATCTCGGGCCGGCCCTGGCTCAGCGCCCGCGCCCTCTCCCGAAACCAGAACAGCCCCGCAGAGCAGCGGGGCCACCGACCCGACCGGGAAGGTCACCTGCTCAACGAAGGCGGCCGCGGCGTGTCTTCTGTCTTGTAAATGCCCGGGGTCACCCCAGTGAAAAGGGGGATCCTTGGGGGAGAAGCAATCGGAGGCACCCCGCTCCCAACTCCGGGGGCACGTATTTGAAATGCTAATGTTTTGAAGCTTTCCCTTGGCCCAGATCCGTCTCCTAGAAGGCAGGCAGAAGCCTCTGTGGGATTAATAAACAAACCGCCTCTGGCTCGGGTGCGAACCCGGTAAAACATGCGTTGGTATAAGCGAGAGAGGCCGGTGTACACCGACGAAGCGGGTAAATGATTACACAGCCCCGACCCCTCGCCTTAACATATCGTTGGTGCACCGATTCCGGGACTTGACGTTTCCCCGGTCCACAGACATTTATTTGCGCGTGTCCTTGACACCCTCCGCCCCCGCGCAGGCACCGCGGAATCCAGGTCACAGGTGGGGGCGGGGAAGCCTGGGCGGGGCAGCGGCGGCGCAGCTCCCGCAGAGTCCAATTCCGGCCCCACTCGGGCCGCAGGCTTCGCCCAGGTCCTGCCGGGCCGCAGCCTGGCCTGCACTCCGCCGCCAAGTCGCCCCCACGCCTCGGGACGTCCTTGGGTAGCCCTGACCACGAGGGGTCGGGTGTCCCTGGCCGGGAGGCCGCCGCGCCGAGGGAGGACACAGAGGGTGTCACAGCGGGAGCTTTTTAAAAACCTTGGCATGTGTTTCCCTGTCCACATTAGATAGTTTGTCGAGTTATTGCCAAAATTATCTAGTCAGATCCCTTGCTCAGCTCAGCTGCTGGCGATGGTAATCATACCCGCACACACTTTGGGAGCGCTGACACTCTGCCGGGCGCTGTTCCAAGCTCTTCTCATGGATTAACCTGTGATAAGGTGACCAAAGTCAGTCATCTGGCTTCTCTCGAGAGCTGGCAGGTCACCTGCCCTCCACTCGCCTGGTGGGGTGAGAGTAAATTGGTGCATGCTCCCCTGTTGGATATGGGGTCCAAGCTGCAGAGACATGATTGCCAAGGGCCCAGGGCTCCTGTGTGCTGGAGACGGGCTGGGTAGGGCATCAGGCGCCGTCCTGATTCTGGAACGTTTTTTAGGCCCCACCACAGTTCTCCAACTTCAATGTTTTCTAATCCCCGAAATCTTCCAAGCTGCCTGAGCTTCCAAAAGCTTTCGCCTCAAGCTGGGCAAACCCAATAGAGAAGTGATCATTTTTCAACTAGGGGAGCCAACACTCATACATAATGAAGCGAGTTACACAAAGGACAGAATTCTTTCCCACTCTCCTGGGAGAGACCCCTCAGCTCAGGGTATCTGCAGGGCTGCCCAAACGACCCAAACTATGAGCCAGGCTAGGGGCGAATCAGAGGAATGGGGGCAAGCTGAACAGCTCCTCTGCCTACTCAGTGCCTGGAGTTCCTCATACAAGGAGATCCCCTCCCAGGTTATTCCTGAGCACTTCTCAGAAAGCACAGTTCCTCCCTTTTATTTTTATTTATTTATTTATTTTGAGACTGAGTCTCACTCTGTTGCCCAGTCTGGAGTGCAGCAGCACAATCTTGACTTACTGCAGCCTCCACCTCCCGGGTTCAAGCAATTCCTCTGCCTCAGCCTCCCAGGTAACTGGGACTACAGGCAAGCGCCACCATACCTGGGGAATTTTTGTATTTTTAGTAGAGATGAGGTTTCATCATATTGGCCAGGTTGGTCTTGAACTCCTGACCTCGTGATCCGCCCGCCTCGGCCTCCCAAAGTGCTGGGATTACAGGTATGAGCTCCTGCCCCTGGGCCAGTTCCTCCCTTTGTCCAAGGGCCAGTTGCAGTGCCCATGGCCTAGCCCTGGAATATTGCTGTGAAGGAAGAGCCACTTATGGTAAAGGAGCTCCCCCCAGGCCCCAGTAATCCATCTGGATGCTGTCAAGAACCAAGTGGGCAGGGCAAGAAGAAACAGGGCCTGGTTAAGACAAGGCATTGTGACCTTGACTTCAGCAACCTGGCCTTATAG